TGGATATAGGCCTAAGCCGCAAAGATTGGTACTACCTCATTTTTTTAGCCGCATTTCTCTAGTAAAGTGGTTGTAATTATGCCTCCGTATGTTGATAAACAGACAATTTTTAATATAAGACCATGTTTGGACTAATTAAATAAAAGGCATTAGATTGGTCATACAGAGGTTAAGGCAACATAACTATGACAGCATAAATAGTGAGGAAACAATTTCAAAGCGAAAGAGGTCCGAAGCTAAATTTATAGTATTCTGGAGCAACTTACACGTCAAGAGGAAAGAATGCAACAGGTCGGTAGAATAAACAACGTTTCAAAATCAAATAGTTTCTATGTTAGGATAGTCTTTATTCCCAATCCCGGCATTTCTATTTAAAAATATGTAAAAGATATTTGATATCCGTCATCGATTTCGGGTGTATTTCTAATAAATGTCCATGAATAATAGGATAAAATTGAAATATTCGGTATTTTGGGGATTTTTGGCACCTTTGAATTGGCTCTTATTTGGTATTTTGAGTTTTCTTTGGAAATCAAATATCCATACCAAAAATTGTAGGATGTGCCGGTACTCCTTTATTTTGTATTTTGGAGAGTTTATGCACGCTTTTCAAACAAATTGGCTTTATCTTAGTATTTAGAATACTCATCGCAAATTTCACTATCAACAGGTAAAAAGGTGTTAGTGAGTGTTACCGACAGATATGTACCCTCAGCATATGGTTTGCTAAATAAGGCATGTTTTTTTATACTTTACACAACTATATTGTCAGGATATTATAGATTTGTGTGACCCCAGAAGTTTATAACCTTTTAGTATACCGATTGTCATATCTCGACTACTTGGGTCGATCTGTGTCCGTCTGTCCATTATAATTTTGTAAATACGATACAGGCCACAGTTATGGATCAATCGTCAAGAAATTTTGCATGTAGGACGGGTTCTTGCAAAAAAGATCCCCTTTGTTTTTGTTAATGATCCAGGAATATTTTTGTAAAAAAATTATTTTTGTCTGTGTTCTGGTCGTTCTAGATGCCGTTCCAGATGACCAAATTTTACTAAGAGAAAGGTGTCTGGCCATAAAATAAGCATTACTGTTTTTAAAAAGATCAGTCAATATTTAGCTGTTCAAATTGACCAGAGTTTTTTGTGAAAAATGACAAAATTTGCATTCTATGGTGTATATATTTAATCCTGAAGGACATAGATCCAAAAAGTTAAAATTGATACCATTTATATTATTGTAGTGTGTACTCGGATGTGGGAGTTATAATTAAACATTTATAGTTGTCTTCGTATTCAGATATTATTTAGTAAACCATTACCACACTAGATGGTAGAAATTTAGCACCAATCACTATGGAATTTCACATGAAGTTCCGGTAGGGGTCAAGGACGACACCTATTGTTTTCGGTATTGATCAGATGATATATATGGGAGGACATAGACCGAAAAATTTATTTTATAAAGATTTCTATTCTATTTAATTTTATGATTTAGTGACCCAGTAAGGAAAGTTCAAAAGTCGGACGGGGCCGACTATATGACACCCTTCACCACTTTGGGTACATACAAGAGATGGTAATATGTACATTATCCTGTAGATAGAACAGACATAACATCTTTGGAGGAATCGGGCTAAATTAAATGGGTGATCTACATAGATATCTGAACCAAAAACAAAACCATACACATACCATTCTGATATCTATGAAAAATTGCATGTCAATCGGTTAGAGTTGGGTTTTTTAATGTACCATTTGTATGAAATCGAGCTAAATTAAGTATGGGATGAATATGCAAATCAGGACCTAATTGAGAAACCGTAATATGCTGCAGCACAGTGCGCTGCTCATAATTTCTTGTCGGTAGGATAAACTTGTATTATTTGGTGCGCAAATCTCATGAAATCTGACGAAAATATAGAGGGGTTATATTTACATCTGAATATATATTACGAAATTCAATACGCTCCAATTTTGTACGTTGTGCAAAAATTCGTCCCAATCGGAAAAAGTTTAGTTATTTGGAAACAATTTAGAAATAAATATGGAAGCTTTATCTAAACCTGATCTGATTTCAAGAAATTTCAGTCTAATACTCTCTGCAATAAGCACCTCGGTGCACCATATGCATTAAATTGGACGAAAATATTTATGGGAGCTACATCTAAGTCTCAATGCGGACAAAAGTATATCAAAATTTGAACAGATTTCAATAAAACTTCACAGGCATCAAACTGGACTTAATTCAGTGTACTGTGCAAAATGTTGTCTCAATCGGACAAATATTCGGAATGTGGTGTACCATTTATATGAAATCTATATATGGGAGCTTTATCTTAATCTGATCCGATTTCAACATACGTCTATCTGGACCTTATTCAGTGCGCTACGCAATATTTTGGCTCAATCGGTAATATATATGGGAGCTATATCTATATCTGATTTCAATGAAATTTAACACACTCTATCCTAGCTTCATACGTTATGCCGAATTTTTGGTCTGTTCCACTACTTCTTTAATAGTAAAGCTAGTAAAAGGGAAATATTTCAAAATCACTCTTAGAGTACAAAATAATTTGAAAATTTCGGGAACGCAAATTTAGTAAATATGCCAAAATTAGATGGCAATACTTCAAAATCGACCTAACAGCCAATCAGAAGTTGGCATTCCTGTTCACTATTTTTACTCAGACAAATTTTTCGTGTAAAAAATTTACAAAGAGAATGCCATTTTGTTTTGCGTTCTCTTGAATTTGGTTAAATGTTTTACCATTTTTGTTGGTTCAGGAATGGGTTTCGAGTAAAATGTTTCAAAACCTTTAGGTTATCGAACCGAACTTTTGTCTCAATCAAACACAAATTGGAAGTTTGGTGCACCGTTTACATAAATCGGATGAAGGTATATATGACAGCTATATCTAACTCTAAACCGATTTAAACAAAATTTCACAGACAAGAAACTGGACTTAATTCAAAATGCTGTGCAAAATTGTGTCTCAATCGGACAAACCTTGGGAGATTTGTGCATCTTTTATCTAATATATATATATATATATATATAAATCTGAGTCGATATAAACAAAACTTTATAGACATTAAACTGCACCTAATTCAGAACCCTTTGCTAAATTTTGTCTCGATCGGAAAAATACTGCGTGTTTGTCTTTCTCGTTTACTTTGCCTGTTACAAACATATGTACAAAGACATAATACCCTGTACCACCTAGTGGTGAAGGGTATAAAAATGTAAAGGCTCTGAATATAGATCCGCAGAAAGTTAGAATGGTGAAGGGTATCATATGGTCGGCACCGTCCGATTTTACTGCTCCGCTCACTGGTTTTAAGTTGATCATCTTTGGAGAGGTACTAGAAGACGTTGCTTTGCAGGCCCCATCTTCGGATTTATTGGGGGCTAGGTAAAATATTACGAATATCAAATTAGTTATTCAAAACATATTGAATGAAATTTACATTTTTTTAATGGTTACCATATAATGTTCAATCGAATCCGAAAATGGGACCCGTAGGTTCGATAACTTAGAACTTGAATTAAGTTTAGAAGAAATATGACAATGTGCAAAGTTTGAATGAAGTCGGTTACTCGCTTTGATTGTTATCGTTCACATCAGTCAGCCAGACAGACAAATACTTTGATGAGGTATATTTTTGCCTCTGTATTCTAGACCCTCATTAGACATAAGGCTGAGGATATAGAAGTTATGGGTATCGGTCCACTTTTGAGGATAATCTCCATATAACTGTACCTTCCATAATCGGTATCGGTTCGGCCCGGCCGACGTTTTTACTTGTTTCAATTATATTATCTCAACTTGTTGTCCTCTCTTGAGTTCTAGCTTTCCTCCCTTAAGACTAATTATCATTGCTTTCACTTCACTTCATCAAATCCTCTTCCATCTCATCATCATCGTTAAAAAATTAAATAATTCACATTTGTTTTTTGTTCAGAAATTTATTAGAAATTAGAAAATCTAAGTTTAGTTTTGAAATAAAAGCTAAATCCATCCATTGAAGAAAAACCCAGTCCGAAACTTTTTCTCAAATAAAAAAAAGTTATGACAAAATATTGACCAACTAAACGAAGCTACAGCAAAAATTGAGTTAAAGTGTTTCGATTAGCCAGAAATATTTTGCAGATTTTAAATAGTAAACTTTTTTCTCTTCCAAACATTATTTTTCAAAATGGCCGTTTATGTTTTTGTTATTTTGAGTATTTTCTTATGAGTTGAGTTGAATTTTCGGCTGAGATTTTTCTTAGATGGAATTTCAAATTTCGGTTTGAGTTATAACTTTTGGCTGTGATTGGAGCATGGGGGGTAGTGATTGCTTGATTGATGGATGGTTGGTTGGAGGATAGTGTTCGTTGCGAGTGTTGCGGTAGTTGTTGTTGCCAACGTTTTTCCTTAGAAGGAAGCCTTAAATGGTCGTTTTTATTTTTCTAAACCAAACAACATGAGATTATTTTTTCTCCTTTGCCTACACCTTTTGTTATTGTTGGTTTGCTTTGTTTGTTTTTCTTTTCACTTTATCAGTTTCTTTTTATTTTCTATATGTATATATAAATGTATTTTAAATTTAATTATATATCTTTCGCTTTGAGTGTTTTCTTTAAAAAAAAATGAACAACAGAATAAGTTTTTAAATTTTTTCTTCTTTTTTTTGAGTTTTTTTTATCAGTTTTGTTTTATAAGTTATTATTTTTATAATAAAATATGGTTTTCTTAAGATTTTTTTTGGTTTATTTTTCTTAAAAAAATTATATTAGATTAGAAAAAAATAATGAAAACTAGCCAGCCATGGGATGACGATGTTCTTGTTGCTGGTGGCTATTATTTTCACGATGTTGATGTTGGTGTTGTTGTTGCAGTTTTTCATTGCATTTTAATTAATTTAATTAAATTATTTATTTTTTTCTTTGCTTTATTAAATTATTACGAGAGAGAGTAGTGTTGGTTTTTTGTTTGTTTCTATATTTGTTTGTTTCGAATAACATCTATTGGAGAATGGTGGTAGCTACAGATTTTTAACAGATGGTCAATAAAAATTTATAGCATATCGGGTCTATCGCACATTCTGGCAAGAAATGCTGTAAAGAGATGGAAAGAGAGGGGGAGAAAAAGGAAAAAATATTGATTAGATAAAATTGTCAAATGGAAAAATAAATAAATATTGCAAAAAGCAGATAAATCATAAATTCCAAAATTATTCCTAAAGTAAAGGTCTTCTCAGGGACCCTGCCCTTGAAATCAAGAAACTTATAAGAAATAATCAATCCTTGGTAAAATAAATACTTTTTTGATGCTTTTTGTACTTCAAAAATATAAAACCCCCTTCAGAACTCCATACCTAGGAAATTCTGTCCAAAGACCATTTTAGATTTTAAGGATTTTGCTCTCCTAAAAAATCCTCTCTCAACTGGTTGTAAAGACTCTCGCTCCTATTTAAGAAGTCTCCGTCTCGGCTGTGAAGACTTCCTTCGGATTTTTATGAAACGGCTGTCTTTTCCTCGTCTATATAATAAAGCTTCCCATTTCAAAAAATGTTGTTATGCTCTCAGATATAAAGACACCCTGTCTAGAGCCCATCTATGAAGTAGCGAAGTCGATAAAAAGGTTCGCCAGAGCTTGTCATCTATAAAGACTCTACTCCATTCGTCTATATGGACCCATATCAGCTCATCTATAGTCGGACTAAAAATATTTTCTTCAGATATGGTAAATTTCCCAGCCTGCTTTAACGACACCCTGTCTGGAGCTTATCTATTAAATTGCCCTAAAACTCGTCTAAATTCTTCCTGCCCCTAAGCACGGTTTTCAACTCATATATATAGACTCTGCTCAGATCGTTTAAAAAGGTTCCCCTACCATCAAAATTCTCCCTTGAGCTTGGCTATGTAGAAGTTCCCTCAGCTCGTCTAAAAATAATTATTCAGTTCGTCTTTCAAGACTCCCTTAATCGTATCTATAAAGTCTACCATCGGGCCTTTTTTAGATTTTTTTCTCTGAGACTCCACTAAGCTCCCAAAAAATACACCCTACATGGTTGAATGGCTCCTCACTTCAATTCATCTTCAAAAGTTCCCTGATTCTTTCTGTGAAAAACCTACAGATACATCGTTCAGCTGGTCTAAAAAGATCGCCTTCACTGCTCTATAAAGACACCCTGCCCCTTTAACTAGTTCGAAAATATTACTCTATTAGCTCGCGTATACAAGATCGTCTATATAATATTATCTTCGGGTTAGTTATACAAAACTCCCTTCAGATCGACTATATCAGAGTCCTTTCAGCTCTTCTATAAAACCTCTCTTTAATTCGTCTATAAAGTTTCCCTTCAGAACGTTATTCGGCTCTGCTGAAAAGACTCTATTCAGAGTATCCATAAAAACTCACCGTCCTATATAAGGACTCTCTCAGCTCACATATAAATATTCTCTTCAGGTCACATATATAGGCGTGAGACTTCCTTCAACTCGTCTATTGAATGTCGCCAGCTCTACTCTAAAACCTCTCTTTAATTCGTAAAAATGGTCACCTAAATTCTCTCAGTTCATTTATAAATACTCCCTTCAACTAACAAATAACGCCTCCTTCTTTTGCTCACTTATAGCTACTCTTTTTAGCTAACATATAACCGATCTCTTCAACTTTGTCTGTAACTAATCTCTTCGGATTTCATTCTATGATCTGAATTTATTCTCTATTACTCAGAGCTTATTTTTGCTCTTAAAAAATTCTCTCGAAAATACAAATATAACACATGAAGAACACCAGGATACTTCTTGGACATACACTAAACAAATTTAAATTATAATTTATGGAACAATAGGAAACACTTCGTACTTTATACCTCATAGCAGATCGAAGGACCAACATTTTTTATATTTAATTTTCATCTCAAAATGCCAGCAATTATTACCACAAAAATCCATTCATGGTAAATAGACAACTTACCGTTTAGTCGAAGACAACGGGATCGCTCATCAATCTTTGGACGAATTCTGTGGTTGTAAGGTAGACAACAGGGTAGGTGTGCACAAGACATTGGTTGGGGGATACACATCAGGAATGGTTTTTTGGGGGTGTGATTTGGTTTTGTTTTTTTTTTTGTGATTGTTTTGGAACAGGAACATAAACAAAGAAGTGCACATATATTCGTGATTTGAATACAAATATAAAAATAAAAAATACAAGTGCCAGGTGGAATACAATAAAAACATGGTGATGGTGCCAGGTCACAAACAAGAGTTCACATGAAATTACAAATAAGAAAATACAAATTTATAGGAAAACAATACATAAATATATATCCTTTTTAAGGATATGTGGAAAGAGATAGAACGAGAGAGAGAAAGAAATCGATTCATTGGTATAAAACTTACGGGAGTATGGGATCATGCCATCATCATCTTCAGGGTCCAAACAGTCAGCGAAGAGGGTCTCGACTTGTTCATCTTCCAAGTTTTCACCTAAAAAGAAATATATTTATTAGATTTTTCTTTTTAAAAAATTATTTTTGTTTGCTTACCCAAAGAAAGGAGGGCATGTTGCAATTCAGCCAAGAGCATGGTGCCGTTTTCTTGTTTGTCGTACAATTTCAAACATTCAATGAAATCTTCGTAGCAGCCTTGCTCCTTTTCCTTCTTGACTTGAGAGTAGATGGGGAGGAATTCATCGAACTTGATCATTTTCAATTTGCGTTGCTTGGTACCGCCCATCTTTTCAATCAAAGCCAAGGTGGGGTTCAAGTTGAGGGCACGAAGGGCATCACCCAAGTCGTAGGCATCGATACCATCGGCACTACCCATAACTTCGAATACGAATTCGATATCTAATAAAAAAGAGGGTAAAGATTTATTAATAAATGTTTTTATTTAAAAAAAGGGAAAGGGGGGACATACAATATTTTCGGTTTTGAAAATAGCATTACCCAGTGTTTTTGAAAGTAACTTCGGAGCGCATTAAATTAAATTTTAAATTAAATGTTAGCTGCAAGTTGTAATTAAGTAGATTACTTTGAAAGGGGTTTATGTCCATTTTTTCTTATTTTACATACAATATTTTCGGTTTTGAAAATAGCATTACCCAGTGTTTTTGAAAGTAACTTCGGAGCGCATTAAATTAAATTTTAAATTAAATGTTAGCTGCAAGTTGTAATTAAGTAGATTACTTTGAAAGGGGTTTATGTCCATTTTTTCTTATTTTGAGATATTTAAAGGGTTTGTGGTAAGAGGTATTAATTTCGTTTGTGGTTTTTTGCCCTTAAACATGATAGTATATATATAGATAGAAATATGTTTTGTAAACTTTTCTAGAAAATCAAGATTTGTATTAGAACCTAAAATAGACTTATACCACTTTCAAAATAATCGAAAAACTGGATAAATTGTAGCGTATATGTCGACGCTTTGATGGACCTTCAAAATACAAAATATCGGTTGTGGTGACCTAGTAACAAATGTAATATTTTTTAAAGACCCCAACAACTTTATTTTTTTTTATTCGGAAGTTCTATGTTACATATTTAAAAAAATTATTTTTAGGATTTTTAAAAAAATTATACTTTGACACATGGTCATATTTTATTAAAATTGATATTTAGAATTCTGAGTGGATGGAATGCCTTTCTAATATCATTATGATTAAAAAATACGTTAGGAAAATTTCAAATTTTTGAGAGATTATCATTGAAATATTTTTTAAGTACTATGGTTTATATGAGTATCAGATTTTTATAGGGTTCTAAGGTCGTCAGAAATGTTATTAAAATTATTTTACATTTTTTTTTTGGAAAAGGAAAGGTATGGAATTGTTTGTAAATGCCTTGTTAACCTCGAAGTGAGGCACCAGCGAAATTCTCATGCAGTTTATGTCGTTGGTCAGCTGAGTACTTCGCTTTGTTACAAGAGACATTTGGGTTTGAAAGGTTTTTTGTATGGAAGCAATAGCTTCTGGGGAGAAGCAAAAAACTAAGGGAACTGATGAGGATCAGTGGCGTGATCCGAAACTATAGTCTTCCCTGCCTTACCCCTCGGCAAACAATGCCATACATTCCCCACTAATAAATAGTTGTTTTTTATAAAAACAACAAACTGGGATTCAGCCTGACTATTTTGCAAAAACAAAATACAAATGGTATCCCTAACAAACCGCCAACACTACTGAAATTATTTTTAATATTAAAGACAAAACTTAAAATTTGTGAAGAAGGATATCAAGAGGAAATTATTATTCAATATTCCAACAAAATCTGAACACTCATTGAGCCAATATATTATCTATAGAAAAACTTTATAATTTTTTTTTAATTTTTTTTGTAATAAAAAAAAACTTTTGAAAAAGTCTGTTTAGATGACCTTTAAATTTGTTATTTATTATTTCTGTTGCATTTCTAATAAATTGGTCTATATTCCATATACATATACATGTCATCAAAATCTATTACAAAATTATTCAAAATTTCTTGTAATGAAATAAAAATTACTCAATTCACATTCTTGTTAAATGACAGTGAAAAAAATTATTTGAATATTTAATTGGCAACCTCCCACATCTAGCTATGAATCTCCTTATATTATGAATATTCATTTTGGCTATTATGTCATATATAAATATGTACATATAGCTACTTATATATGTATATGTTAAAATATGCATGTGTGGGGAACGTATACAATCAAAAGTAATTCGACACCCAAAAAAATATTTTAATTGTTTTACGGTTTCTACAAACGCATATAAACTTATATGTATTTTGGTGTGTGTATAAGTGTGTGTGTGTAAGAATGCTTGTCTGTCCTTTAACCATAAACATAGATGACCAAAGAAAATACATTTCTCACAGCATAGAATATATATTCACACACACACACACACACACACGCATTGTTTGTTTATTTGTATATGTGTTTCCCCAAAAATAGATTTGCGTCTGGTGTTTTTTCGGGTAAAACCCACACAATCGTACATGTACGAACGAAATGATCTTTCAGAATCGTATTTTCTTCAACGACAAGTGTTCTATATTTTTGATCAGGCTCTATTGGGTGTATTCGTGTGTGTATGTATTTATTCGACATTTCCTATGGCATTGAGTATACAATTTAGCGTGAGAGAATTCTCTCTGAAAACAATTCGGTCATTTGCTCTCATTTTCAAGTTTCTTTAATTATTCTTCGTTTTTTTTTTCATTTCAAAAAGTGTAGTTGAACTATTTCGTAAATTTTGAAACAACAACAAGAAAAACTATTTCTTTTTTTTTGTTTTAAAAATAGAAAGCCCAGCATTCGTTTCTCGTAATGAATGGTTCTCTACTCTATGTGAAACGATAAAATAATAAAAAATATTCAAACGTATATTTTTATTTTGTAATAAATATTGATTTGTATTTTTTTAAAAATGTTGTTGGCGTTTATTTAATTATCGAAAATTTGGAAATAATTTAATATTTCTTATAAAATATTAGCACGTCTTGAAATCAATTTTTCCAATTTATTTTATTTTGCCCTATATATGTAATGAAGTTTTAGACGTTATCGAAATCATCGAAATAGTTTGAGGGATTTTTCATTTTTTGTTTTGATTTGGTAATCTATATTTTCTTCTTTACTTATTAATTAAAATCAGAATCGATAACTGTTTATCGTTTGAATAAATACCCTATTTTGTTCTTGACCTAATTTAATTAAATGTTTCGCCTATGACCTTGACAGTTGTCGATGTTATCGAAAATAAAAATGTATGGCTAAATAACATAAATTTAAAAATATAATTATAATTTTTAAACATTTTTCTAAAATTATATTATTACAATAATTATTATTATAATTCTTTAAAAAAATAAAATTTCGATTAAATTCGATAAATTACCATTTTTCTCGGATTTTCTAACTTCTTAATTTGTTTATTTATTTTTTATCGAGGAAATTTAATTTATTAATTTTATTGGAAATTTATCGTGACATTAAAATGCAATTCATTAAACATTCAAATCCAACAGCGTGCTTTTAAGTTTTTTAAAAACACAATTTCGATAAGTTTCAATATATTGTTATTTTTAATGGATTTTTTTAATATTTAATATTTATAATACCTGAACAATAAATTTATCGATAAATGTAATTTTTAGCTTTTTTAGATACCAATATATTTTTATTGTATCTATTATTAAGAGGTTTATATATATATATATATATATATATAATTAAATAAAGTATGTTTGGTATATAGTATTTTTTTTTAATTTCGAATTATTATTATCGATTTTTAGTTTGTAAAAAAAATGTTTAATTAATATTGACTGCATTTGCCCTATAATGTTGCCTAAAAATTAGGAATCATTTCAAGGTTTAAAAAATCAGATCTAAAAAATGTTGTCTTTTTATAATTATTTCAAGTGGGTGTGTGTGGTATCTCATACTAAATCGGTGAGGTCTCATATCGAGGTATGCTACAGGTTTGTATTGTAATTTGATAATCAAAAATTGAGTTGATCTGTTTACTTGCTTCGGAATATGCGAATTTCTGTCATATGAGGAAAGCTAAAATATATATAGTATATTCTTTAATGACCTAGGGTACTCGTATCTGGCATATGCAAATATTATTTTATGTTAAGTATATATTGTATACTAGGTAGCGTTACATATCTTTATTAATATTGATTTTTTCCTGTACTCACAATAAACCTTTCATAATGACAAAATCGAAAACAATTTCGATTACTAAACATTTCTGGAACGAAGTATATATTCCAAAATAAAAAAGAAATCAAAACTATTTGCATAAATTTCAATTATCTATGTACATATGTTCACGATTATCTCCCACACATTTTCTTTATATAAATATACCGAACCATATTAGGTAGTTGAAGTATTGATTTGTATATATGTATGTACGCATGTATGTATGTATGTATGTAGTATTATTCATAGGTTATTATATTTATTCCATAGTTATATCACACAGTTCTGCATTTTTTTCGATTTCTTCTTTTGCATGGTACTCTATCGTATGTGTTTTGAATTTTCAAATTTATTTTTAGATCGCCTTTCTCTCACTTTTACACAGTTTTTTCGAAAATTGTTTTCTTTTTGTAGCAATTCATTAAGGTATAAAAATAAATTTTCAAAATGTTTTTGAGGTTAGAATTCAATGACTGCGTAATGCTATTATCAAAGATTTTTTATTGTATATCCCCTGGATTTTTTTTTTTCAAAATATTTTCTTTTATGTGAAGAAAAAAGACTTACTTTCTTGTTCACGTTTTGGTACATCGGCCTGCAGGTGTAGAAATCATGTTGGTAGATTGACAATGATGAAGAAGAAGAGAAAAACAGTTATAAGTAAATTGAACATTTTTTTTAATTTTTTAAATTATTTTTTCTTAATTTTTTTACACAGTTTTTTAATATATTTTTTAATTATTTTTTTAATTTTCATCATTTTTATTTTATATTTGTTCCTGTGGTATATTTTCCATCTTTTTTTCTATTTGATTTTTTTTTGAAAAATTTAACACTTTTCACACAACCAGACACTCACCATTTTGACTGTTTGTTTGAGAAAAAGCAACTAACTCGCGGATGAGCTCGGTCTCGACTGAACACTTTTCGTCGCCAACAATTTGTAAAGGTAATTCTAAGGTGGATTCTTGGCAACCCATACCATCACAGACCGTATTAATGTGAGTAACACATACATACAAACAGTTAGACAGGCGCACAACCAAAGGCATTAACTCTGTGGAAAATATACAACAACAGCATTTCAATTCTTCAGATCATTTCCCCAAGTATACACACACAGACATACACTCAAACATGTATACGATGATTACGATGATAAATTTTCCTTAGTATATAACATGACGAAATCTCTTTCTCTCAAACACGCAATACGATGCATATGGGGCCATCGTATGGTGTAGATCTCTCCGATCGTTTACTGTGAACACGTAATCGTGTCTATATGTATGACACGATTCGGTGAGAGCCACAGAGAGATTTTACTCATACGTATAATACCCGGCCGATACATGGACATGAACGGCATCCCAAAAATACCACAATCAACATGTTGGCCATTCTGTATGTAGAGAAAAACATTTTCAGATTTGTTTGTTTCCTTCATTCTATTCTCAGAAGTCTAGGAAAATGGAAAGCAACGCAATCATAGCAACAAGTACAAGGAAAAGCAACCGCCTGTTGTTCATTTGCCAGAGAAACCATGCAGTGGAAAATCGGTTCTCACTCCACATTCAACGGTGGGGGTGTGGGGCATGATCATAAAATACTGGCTGGTTGGCACATAAACAGACACACACACATATGTGTATGTATGTTTAATGGCAACACATGTATGTATGTGGATATTTTGGGCCATCTATTCATGCCACCACCTCCACCTTGTATGAGTAGTCGTTGTCTTCGTATGTCTGTCTGTCAGTCAGTCATTCAGTATTCCATTGTTGTTATTGTTGGATTTTTCTTCGTTTCTCATTTTTGCCTAGTCTACTATTTGATCTATTTTTATAGTATTCACCTCTTCATGATTATCTCAGTGTTATTATTTTTGCATTTGTTGTTGTTACTTTTGCTACGTAAAAATATAATTTTTTTGGTTATATTTTCTCCCAAGTTTTCTTCGTTTTCTTTTTTTTTTTGTATTTTTGTTTTGTTAGTTTAGACCCAAACAGTGTTGAATATCATTTCATTTTTATTTTCAACATTGATTTTGCAATACATATTTTCTCGTTTTTCAGCATCTTTCCGCCATATTGTTTATTTGTTAAAATGTTCACAATTTTAAATTTTTTCAAAAAATTTTCATGACCCTGTCTTCATAGCCGTACATTTCGAAAAGTTGAGGTATACTCTTTTGGTTGTTTGTGCAAATTTTTTTATGTGTTTGCCAAATTTTCAAAATAAAAAAAAAAATCAAAATAAGAAAAAATATCTTCTTCTCTTTCTAGTTAGCTAAAGAAAATGGAAATATAGAACATAGTAGTTGAATATATGTTAAAAATTAATTAAATTATTATTTTATACGTTATGTTAGAAATATAATCTTAAACCAGTAAGGAAAGTAGTAAAGTCGGACTGGGCTGACTATATAATACCCTTCACCACTTTGGGTATATCAATCCCTACACATGCCAATCTGCAACCTATGCTAAATTTTGTAAATCGATTTAAAGCAAACTGGACACACGCTATTCGGTATGCTGAACTGTTTAACTGAACTGATTTTCACGAAACTTTGCACACATTATTCAAGACTTAATTTAGTACGCTTTGCCAAAATTCGTGCAAATCAAAAGATTTGCAGGGACTTTGGCGCACCATTTACCTAAAATCGGGTGAATCTACATAAGGGAGTTATATCTACATCTGAACCGATTTTAACGAAACTTAGTACACGTCCTTCTAGACTTATTTGAATAAGCTAGCCCGAAATTCGTGCAAATCGAAAGATTTTCTGGGACTTTGGTCCACCATTTACTTAAAATCGGACGAAACTATATACGTTATCTAAATCTGAACCGATTTTCACGAAACCTAGCACACGTCGTTATAGACTTAATTAAATACGCTATGCCAAAATTCGTGCAAATCTAATGATATTTAGGGACTTTGGTGCACCATCGGACGAAACTATATATGGGAGCTATATCTAAATCTGAACCGATTTTCTCGAAACTTAACACACATAATTCTAGACTTAATTCAGTACGCTATACCAAAATCCGTGCAAATCAAAAGATTTGCAAGGACTTTGGCACACCATTTACCTTAAATCGCACACCACCACACCATTTACCTTAAATCTGAACCGATTTTTCCCAATTTCAATAGGGTTCGTCCTTGGGCCGAATTAGTGACCTGTGTCAAATTTCATCCAATTCCGATCATAAATGCGACCTGTACTTTGTTTACAATTTAACATGGACAGACAGACGGACGTACATGCATAAATCGACTTAGAAAGTGATTCTATACATATTCTCAAAAGGAACCATGGGTCTATCTCGATTATTTTTGCCTGTTACAAACATATGCACAAAGACATAATACCCTGTACCACAGTGTGGTGAAGGGTATAAAAAAACTGTAAGGAAAATAGTAAATTCGGACGGGGCCGACTATATGATACCCTTCACCACTATGGGTATATGAAACGAATGCATCCAAACAGAAGTGCCATTAACATGAAATTTGATGAACTAAAATATGTGGCCATTTAGATAAAGGCCACATATTTTAGTTCATCCAACCGACATAGATCAATCCATAAACATATCATTCGTTTGATACAATGGGTCAAAATTATGTAAATCGATTTAAACCAAATATCAAAAATATCAAAATGCTCATGTCAATATTTCCAACATGAGGAGTTTGGTCCACCATTTATTTAAAATCGGATGAAAATAGATATGGAATATGAACCGATTTCAACCAAACTTGTCACAGGTTGGTTTATACTAATTTCAGCAGGTTTTGTTCCTAATGGCCATATTTTGGGTTCTACTTAAAATCGGACGAAACTATATATGGGAGCTTTATCTAAATCTGAACGGATTCCATCGAAACTTCAGACGTTTGGCTATACTATCTTCAGTACGTTATGCAAAATTTTGTGTCAATCAGCCTAACTTTGGGTCTTTGGTGCACCATTTATTTAAACGCAGACGAATATATATATATGAGAACTTTCTAGACTCAATTCAGTACGCTACGCCACATTTCGTGGAAATCGAAAGATATATAGGGAGATTCATAAACCATTTACATTAAATCGGTCGATAATATATATGGGAGCTATATCTAAAAGCTGAATCTATTTTCGGGAAACATTACACAAATCTTTCTATACACATTTCAGTACGCTATGAAAAATTTCGTGGAAATCGAAAATTATATAGGGACTTTGGTATACCATTTACATTATATTGGGCGAACATATATATGGGAGCTATATCTAAATCTGAACCGATTTTCAAAAAATTGTACACACATCATACTAGACTTAATTCAGAGCGCTATGCCAAATTTCGTGTAAATCGAAAGATATATAGGGACTTTAGTATACCATTTACATTATATTGGGCGAACATATATATGGGAGCTATATCCAAATCCGAAACGATTTTCAAAAAATTGTATACGTCATTCTAGACTTAATTCAGTACGCTATGCCAAAATTCGTGTAAATCGAAAGATTTTCAGGGACTTTGGTGCACAATTTACCTAAAATCGGGCGATACTATATATGGAGCTACATCTAAATCTGAACCGATTTTCAAGAAATCAATACAGTACGCTATGCCAAAGCAAATCGAAGTATATATAGGGACTTTGGTACACAATTTACATTAAATCGGACGAAAATATATATCTAAATCTGAACCGATTTTCCTCAATTTCAATAGGGTTCGTCCTAGGGACAAATAGATTAGCTGTGCTAAATTTCATACAATTCGGATCATAAATGTGACCTGTACATTGTTTACAATTAAACATGGACAGACGGACATGCATAAATCGACTTAGAAACAGATTCTATGCATATTCTCAAAAGGAACCATGTCTCTATCTCGTTTCCTTTTGCCTGTTACAAAAGCACAAAGACATAATACCCTGTACCACAATGTGGTTAAGGGTATACAAATGTAAAAATTATGGCGTTTGACTTTGTTTCAGTATTTTATCTTACCCTGTATATGTTTGTCCGACTTAATATATTGAATGATGCATCAAAGACACAAAGTTTGTCCGATTGACACACAATTTCCCACATTGTCAATACTTCGGTAGATTGTGTACCGAAATATTCATTATGTTTCATTGAAATCGGTTCAAAATATAGATATAACTCCTGTATACATTTGATCCACATGGTGCGATTAATTCAAAAAATGAACTTTAACGTTAACAGTTTTTGGTACTGGGCGAAAGAAGATAAAATTCTACATCACTAATTGCCAAAATAAAAGTTCTTAGCTGTTTACTTTATTTGCAGTGTGTCTTCAAAGTTCAGTAATTATTATTATTTTTGCGCGCATTGGTTAAAAGTGAAAATTTGCATATTTCCAGTGATAATTTTTTTAATTAAGACTTCTAAAAAGTAAAAATTTTATTATGGAGCCGTCTACTTTAGGTGTTTGAGCATATGAAAAATATTTGTTTGTTTAGATAAATGTTTTGGAAATATTGAAAAAACATAAATAAGGAAATTGGTCCAAAAATTAGGTATTTTTGATGTTTGTATTGGATTTTAACTGAATTATTGTTGAAACTTAGTAAAACTGCTTATATTTTCTTAAAATATGAAGTTTAAGCTTATAAATTCCAGAAAAACTTTTTGCCGTTTTGGTGCATTTTTTGACTTATTACAGAATTTGTAAAATAACTCAGCTAAATGAAGAATCTCAGGAAGCCAGAAATAAGGACTTCAAAAACTATTGGGAGCACTTTTCCAGTAAATTCAGTCGGGAAAATACAATAGAAGACGTCTTTAGTAGATTTCTTTAAAGTTCAGATCCATTTATTTCGAGCAAGAGGAAGAGTTGTAAAAATAAAATACAGCAAATGTCTCAGACTACTTTGGACTTTCTTATCCTTACCCAAATGGAAAATGTAGTAAGTAATATTATTATGTGAATTAATTCT